ATGGGTTTTTATAACAAATATATACACAGCACTCTATACAGCAGGTGGTTCACATCTAGATAACCTCAAACAATTTAAAGATTATCATCCAAATAAAAGTAATGCAACCTCACACTACCTGATACATTTTAATGATTTTATCTCACTAACACTCAAAATCTATACACATCATTTGTTAAACATTTCACAAGTTAAAACCGGTTTTGTTTCAAGTAGTACACAATATTTGTAAAAGACAACTATAAAAACACACCATTCAGTTTTGCATAGTATGAGGTAGTTTGCTTTGAGTATTTGTCAAACACTGACCGTTCCTAAAACATGATTCCCAGGTTAGTCGGGGAAAACCTGCCTGGAGCCAACGTTGTGTATACAAGTAACAAATTATCGATCGCAAAGTCGAGGAAGACCTCACACTAACGACCATAGCACAGTTGCCCCGGTTTTGGTACGATGACTGTTTCATCGACATGAAATAATGGCTACCGAATGGAATGCGGCCTATTTAAGTTATCATATGTACATACCAATCCAACAACACCATTCAACAGTACTTACAAATAGACGAAGGCTTAGTCCAATAGTTAGATATAACAATGTGTATGCATAAGATTGACAAAGAAGAAAACACAGTATGTCCAATCAGACAATTTTATAATCAACAAAATATATACACATCTTTTGTTAAACATTTCACAAGTTGAAACCAGTTTTGTTCATATGATATGTTATATGCAAAAAAAGGTTATTTAAACAATATATGGTACAACCTTTAAATAGAGTTGTTTTACAATGTTTTTAAGTAAGAAATTTTAAGTAGTACACAATATTTGTAAAAGACGACTATAAAAACACACCATTCAGTTTTGCATAGTATGAGGTAGTTTTCAAAAGATCTACAACAAGAAGATATAACTGATTTTTTCCCCATCATTTAATTTTTTTTTTAAATAAATTTCATGAAATAGGAACAAAAGTATAACTTTTCACAAGATACTTTAAAAACTAAGGTAGTAAAATAGTTTTTTTTAACATATTGGCACAAAGTTTGCCAAAGTATGACACCAGTTTCGTCAAATAAAATTTCAAAGTATATCATTTTCCAAATAGTGTAAGGAATGTGAGAACGTTTTCACACTTAATTTTGTTCACAATAATACTTGAAGCTAAAACATCTTCATGAAAGTGGTTTTGTCAAAGTAAACAACAAGGTACAAAATGAATGAAAGAAAAAAACAAATCACACACCAGACATTTTGTTAAACACAGAGTAAATTGTAAGAACATGAAGTATATACATCAAAATTTAGATAGGATGCCATATAAGAACAATACATAATCAACAAATATTTTCATTCTGTTTTGTAACGTAGGTAGATTTTGAGTATTTTTTACATATAGGAGGCGGAATAAAGTAGATAGGATTTTGTAATCAGTTAATAAAATCTATACCATATTTAACTCATTGAGACTTCTCACCCTAAGGCATTTTTAAGATATGTAAACAATGTTTAAGATAACAATCAACAGAAGCTACATTCCCAAATGTGTGAAATGATATCCACTCAAGCAACACCATGACAAAAGGCTAAGTCCAATAGATAGAGTAACGTCTTCAAGGTTATACATACAATTTGGTAAATAATAACTTTTATAATCAACAAATAAAACAAAAACGCCAATCTGTTTAGAAATTTTTTGCATAGAATGAGGTCATTTTAAAAGATCGATTATAACAATATACATATGTAAAATGTAGAATTTTCCCCCATAATTTAGTTATTACAAAGTCTTTTTAAGTAAAACTTTAACAAATATGAAGAAGATTAAAAATATTTTGTTCAAGAAGTTTACATTACCTTATACAGATGTGTCATAACAAATAACATTTTATAAGATTCGCTGTCATTGTATAAGAAAGGTTATATCTTTTCAAATTAAACCTTTAACAGACGTAGTACACAGTATTTGTAAACAATCATGAAACGTTATGGAAACAGGTTTTTGCATTATATGTGTTAGTAGTATAGTTTAAACATAGATTATTTTGAAGATTTACAACAAAGATGTGGAATGTAGAAAATTATTTTTCATCATTTGGTTATAACAAAGTATTTTCAAGTAAAATATTTAACAGATATGAGTCAAATTAAAGTATTTTGTTCAAGAAATTGACACAAAAGTATCACAACAAATAACTTTTCATACGATTCGCTCTCATTGTATACAAAAAAAGTAACATAATTTTAGAATATAACAAGTCTCGCAATGGTTTTATTCAAACTGTACACCAGTTCAAGTAAAAAATTTAACAGTGACAGTAAACAGTATTTGTAAAACAATCAGGAAACGTTATGTAAACAGTTTTTTGCATAATATGTGGTAGTAGTATAGTTTAAAGATAGATTATTTTGCAGATTTACTACAACGAAAGTCTTTTCAAGTAAATTTTTTAACAGATATTAGTTAAATTAAAGTATTTTGTTAAAAAAATTGACACCAAAGTATGCTGACAGACATTTTATAACATATTTTTATTCAAAAGTATACTCTTTTTAATATAAAACCTCTAACAGATGTGAAAAAGTTTAAAATTCTCAGCATTTTAATCAGAAAACGTCATGAAAACAGGTTTTTACATAGTATGTGACAGTTTGTTTTAGTATTTATGAAGATTTACAACAACGAAAGTCAAATAAAACCTCTGACAGACATAGTAAACAGTATTTGTAAAACCATTTCAATCAAGAAACGTTACGAGAACAGGTTTTTACATAGTATGTGGCAGTTTGTTTGATTATTTATGAAGATTTACAAGAATAAAACTCTTTTCAAGTTACATTTTTAACAGGAATGAGTTAAATTAAAGTATTTTGATAAAGAAATTGACACACAATTATCTTGACAAACAACTTTTCATAAAATATGTGAAAACAGTGAACACCAACAACAAAGGTAAGATACAAGATACATCAAAGTCGATTTAACTTTTGTCATGTCGGCTTTCCGCAAATCGATTCAAAGCTACCAACTTTCGGCAGCGGCTGAAGACATCATCATGTAATCATGACGCAGTACAACTAAAATACAATATGATGTATATATTGCCAAATGGATGGACTATACGCAGGTGGACGGAGTATCGATCCCTTTTCACCCCCTGTTGGAACTATTTTAGACTTTTTGACAGAAGCATATCACAAAGGGGCAGGGTACAGCACGATTAATACCGTGAGGTCTGCACTCTCATCCTTCATTTCTATAAATCGACAGCCATGCGGTACATTACCGATTATTAAAGATTTGTCAAAGGTGTGTTTTAATTAGGACCAGCATTACCAAAAAGCAGAGGATTTGGGATTCTTTAGATTGTACTGGAGCATATAAAAAGTATAATAGTGAAGGATGCTACACTGAAAATGCTGTCTATGAAAACAGTGGTGTTGTTGGCATTGCTTTCAGCACAGAGGACACAGGCATTGCATTTAGTGGCTATACGAAATGTGACATTAACTAAAGACAGTGTTAAAATCCGATTCGGGGATGTATTGAAACAGAGCAGACCCGGTTTTCACCAGGCAGAACTCCTTTTGCCAGCCTTTGCGGAACAGGAGCTGTGTATAGTCCACACGCTTTCTATTTACATTTTTCATTAGTTACCAGGAATCACATCGAGCAGTGTCTAAGGCCACTATAGCCAGGTGGATCAGATGTTTCCTTGGTAGTGCAGGGGTTGATATGACTATCTTCACCTCACACAGCACTCGTGCTGCAGCCACCTCAGCAGCATCAAGGGGTCTTTTCCGCATTCCAACTATTCTGAAAACAGCTGGATGGAATTCCACTAGTGTTTTTGGATTTTTTTATAACAAGCCGTTGGTACAACAAGCAGGACTGTTACCAAGTGAGAGTGTCCCTGTACCATAGATAAACAGTTTAGTGTAATGTATAAATATACCTTATTAGCATGTGGAAACTGTAATAACTCTATCCTAGACCTAAAACTTTTGATATGGACGATGCATGGTATACATTTACTTGTGCTTCATTCATTATGGAGTGACTATTACTGTTTACAACTTTATGCGAGTGTGCAGTCGATATCTCGTTTGTTTTAACATGTATGAATTATGTGTTGAGTTTATTTAGTACACAGGTTAAATTGGTTTTCTTTGTTTTTGTCTTTTTTTCTGGTTTTATTTTACCAGTTCGGAAACACTCTCTTTGAACATCTCATGTGACCCCTAGTTCCGACTGAGAAGAGAACATAATTGTTAAATTAAATGAGACTTACCTGTAAGTTGAAATTTGATGTCAATTCTATTCTCTCCTCTTCTCTCCTCTGCAGGTACATAGGGGTTACATCCCACCCTTTTTATTACCCTCCCTTTGTCTTTAGTTTATATATGTTGTGGAGGTTTTTCAATCTGGTACGTTTGAGTGAAATATCTCTTTATCTTATAGTTATTACCAGAGTCTGGTGCACTGGTGTAAACCAGTGCACATTAAGTGTTTCGTCACTTCTTTGAATTATGACTGTACGCATCTCATTTAACCCCTATGTACCTGCAAAGAAGAGAACAGATTTGACATAAAATATCAACTTACAGGTAAGTCTCATTTAATTTAACAATAATAATAGTTACATTTTTAAAGCCCGATAGTTTTATTTCTGTGTTATTGTTCTATCGGATTTCGATTTTATCAAATAAACATTTTTTTTCAAAGCCTTCTTTTTTACAATTACAATTCATTAATTAGGCTCCACCCTTTGCAAGTAACCAGCAGAATTGGTTGAAACTTTCACATTATAGTTATGTCACTATGTAGAGGTGATTTAATGAAAATTGCAGCATCCAATTAGACTGGGGAAACTGAGGGAAATCCCCCAAAAAAACAATTGTTTTAAATTTTAATATTTTCCATTTTTTTGGTGTGTGGCATTGTTCGGAGCAATAACAAGAAATAAATGAAAAGAAGCATTGTTTATTAAGCATACAAATATCTTATTTACCACAAAATATATAAAACACGGTAAACAACGCGTTTTTTATTGGAATTGTAGGGATACAAAAGTGATTATCTACAAGCTAAAAACAGACAGGACACAAAGTTCCACACAAAAAGAGTGAACAATTGAACAAAATATTCACAATGGCTTCATAATTAATTTATTTTAGATTTTACAATCACTTAACAATCCCGATGAGAGTGCAGAGGGATACAATTCACGTAATGAGTTAACTCTTTTTACAGACACGTAAATCAAAATGATATAAGTTATTCAAAAACAGTATATCAAAATTTTCAATTTTTTGTTCTTTTATGGAAATAAATTACTCCCAATCTTGTATAGTTTGGACATTATTCCACATCCCGCTAGCGCTTTGCATATCTACATGTCAAGTATATAATTGTAACCAGAGGCTATCTCATGATATGCCGTTCTCACGTGCACACATTCATACATTTTCCTTGGGATTGTGATAGTTTACAAACACTATTTTCACGAAAGTTAGAGCACTGCATTGGTCAACATAATTTACCCGACAGAGCGTAACTCGCTCGACAGCAAAACCCGTAACGACCTCGAGCTAGTGGACTGGTGTAAGCACGTGATAGGTAAATGTGATGTCCGTACATGAAACACACTTTCGGGCTGCATTCCATGTGCTTCATAAATGACCTTCATGAAGTCGTCTGGTCTCATGTCAGTGTCTTCCCGTTAGTCAATTAATGTCTTCATATCGGACGCTTTATTCCTGAAGTACGTGTGATTATACATTTCGAAGTGAAGTCTCGATTTCGGTTGTTAACATATCATCGTCACGCAAATTGTTTACCTGGTGTAACGATAATTTATACTACGGTATTGAAATGTCAGATACGCAATACGGAAATGACGTCACGAAAATACGATAAGAAAAATAAGTGTATTACGAAGGGTGAGAAGTCCTTAACATGACATAAACATAAACTCTCTCACACAAACAATTTCAATTACTCATAGCTAAGCACTACACGCACCAAATTTTACCATTATTTCAACTCACTAAAACCCACAATCATCATCATCATCATTGTCCTTGTCAAAATAATCAAAATTGTCATCATCATCATCAACATAATCACCTTTGTCAAGATAATAAAAATCGTCACCATCATCCCAATAATCATCCCGATCATCATCATCATCATCATCATCATCATCATCCTTGTCAAAAATCATCATCATCAAAATTATGATCACAATAAAATGACGTGATCACTTTACACTCAGTCATCAATAGAATTTATAGAAGAGTCAATTCTAGAAATAGAGTTGGATACAAGTATAGTATGATTAAACATTGTCATTCATATAAAGGAATGTTGTTGGGTTTTTTTGTCACATGCAGAGGCTTTCATCTCTGCATGCTAACTATCAAAAAACACTATATTTCTTTATAGCAACGCAATGTCGTTGCTACAGTAGGGCATTTACGCATGCGCACTGGAAAAATCGGCACCAGGAAACATAGACTCAATTAACGAATATGATGTTTATAACAAAAAATGATAAATAATTTAAAGTTATTTTTTTACGTTTTATGAGGCCAGAAATGACCCATAACGCCCAAAGTCCTTGTCCCAAAACGGTAGCATAGAGTTTTCTGGTCTGTTTCAATAATGTAAGTCGAGTGGGGTAGGCTAAATTTTGTCCATTTTACCTCTTCACTACATCTTCCTCAACGTAGTCTAATTTATGTCTAACGCTCCTAATATTAAGATGAAATATAGAAATCTCGCCAATTGCAAGTGCCGGACCAAAATTGCGCTCAACATCCATATGCTGTAATGATAGCATTAATAAAATCACTGGAAATTCTTAATTTCGGAAACACGAAAAAAATATAATTGTTGCTGAACAATTAACTAAAATATAACTATGCAATTGATGAAGTAGTTTTAACCAATAATTTACACCAAAACAAAAGGTGATCAATTACTTAATCACACATGTTCCGTAGACTTTCTGGCTGGTGAGCGAAAACGTGTATAGAAGTACATGTAGAGAGAAACAGAAATATAGTAGCTCTGTGTGTGAATTTTAAGATGTTTCGAAAAAAATAATTATATTCTATTATATTTTTCACACATTTTCCAATATATGTTAAATAGCATATGAACATACATGCATCACTCAGCCACTCACACACACAAATCATCCCCATTCTCATCCTCCTCCTCCTCATCATTACATTATCATCTCCATCCTTATCGTTATATCATGATTATGATCATCAGTATCATCACACCATTATAACTATCATAATTTCACAATACTACATGTATTATATATGCCAAATATGGTAGTTATAAAAACAATCGAAAGCGTACATTCTCAGAGTGAGTTGTGGATAGTTTAATAGAGTTGAAATAAACGGACATAATTTGCATCCTCTTCAGTGATTACACACATTCTTCCACGAATAGCTATTGCCCAGGGAAGAAACATCCCATTCCTTGACGTCAGGAGCTCTTTGGCATATGTACCATCTCCAGACATCTCTACTACGTTGTGTGAATCTAAACCACACACATATATGTTGCTTGTTTTGTCCATGTCTACTCCTGTCGCCCACTTCACAAGGCCGAATTTCTGCACAACCTTGGAACGTTTGTCACCTGAAAGCCTTGACAATACAGCATTTCTTTCGATGCCTGTATAGCCACTTACTAATATGTCTCCATTTCTTGGATCATGAGAGAGGGAACAGACACAATCAGTATACTGATATAACAGCTCAGCACCACCGTCTTGTGTCAATCTGTACACTTCTGCTGCTTCAGTACCAACGACAAACTGTCCATTGATATGGGTGATTCCACGAAGCAATTTATCATCTGGCATGTTGATCTCGTATGACAGTGTAAGTTTTGAGTTCTCCACTTTCAGGACATTGACACCTCCCGGACTGCTAACAGCGACCGCCACCGTGTTGTTGTTCACCAAACACATATCCCAGGGTTTTCCATCTATGGCCAATTCATCCAGGTACTGTCCTTTGTCTGTAAACAGTTTCAGTTTCTGGTTGTTGAGATCACTTACCACTATATGATCATCTGGAAGGTACACAACACCAACTGCATCACAATCGACCTCATCTGACCTAGTCTTTATGTTGAACTTCCTTATTTCTTTCACACAACGTTCTAAATGCAACAGGGTTGGTACTAGTTTATCATGACTGCCAGGCAAACATCTAGGTTGTTTTTCAATGACAATATTCCCCATAGCGTCATCACAAAAGGTTTCAAGTCCTGGTTCGGTATTATGCTGAATATTGACAGACGTGAACGATTCGTTCATCTCCATGACCAGGGCCTTACACGACTCCACTTCTGCCTGTCCTCTCTGATACAACACTATCGTCTCAATGATGACGTTTTTCTTTACGGCTGTGACGGACATCGTATGTGTATTCAGCATACCGTTCATTAGACGTTGACACTGCCGTAGTGATGCTTCGAAAGTCCTTTTTTCTTCTTTGAAGGATTTGATCAATTCATCTGTGACCTCTTTCTGAAGTTTGTCCAGTCGTTTGTCAACTCTTTGGCGTAGCTCTGTGATACTCTGCAAAGCAATTTCTTGGTTCTCTACCATTGTTTGGAGCTGCTCGTCAAAGTCCTTTACCAATGATGCCATGACATCTGCCCCAATTTTCAGCGCTGCCTGCATGTCTTGTAGCTGTGATCCAGTCTTTAACATATGAAAATACTCTGTCGATGTTGTCACCTGCTCACAACGCCTGTGGTCTTTGAAGACACATATGTTACAACCGAGCACTTTATGATCCTCACAGTACCAAACTATATTCTCCCCATGTTTGTCACAGTGAGGCACAGAGGTATTTTGATTTGGTCTACTGTTATCATACGTGGTAACATCTAAAATATCACATTCAATATGTATGACATCGTGGTGATCAACTTTACAAGTCTCACAAAAACCGGATTCCATTTTCTTACACCAGAACTTGGCAGGATTGGACATATTTCCTTTTGATTGACAGGGTGTGCAGTACAGTGGATCAGACGACTGCTCCTTAAGCTTGATCAGTTCTTGGATCACACCATTGGTTGGGAACTGTTTAGCCCAGTTTTCCTTTGTTTCCGCTTGGTTGACAGGCGTAGCCAATCCTCTACAAACTGGACACGGAAAGGATGTCGCCGAAGCTATCTTGCCAGACAACTCCTTGGTGATGTAGGTCCCAAGACAATCCTGACAGAAGCAATGGAGACATGGTAAGGACTTGGGTTGCCGAAGTCGTTCCAGACAGATTGGACACTCTAGTAAGTGTAAGTCTAGTTCCGGAAGGGGTCCACCTTCAGCCATTATGAGGTTCAGCTTGGTTCAACTTTAACCTGAAAAATGAAGATATGCATACGATTATTAGATTTATATATTACTATTGTCTCCTAATCTAATGTACAACTAACCAAATTGAAAATAATATTAAGAGTCACAATAAAACAAGCAAGTTATTTAAAAAATACTGTCAATCAGACATCTTCTAAACAACACTTGTTGTCGATATCACATGATATCAATCAGACATTATTTTAGTTTGAGTCTCCTTTGTCCAACAATGCTCCCGACCAAATTTGGTCAGAATCTAATCTGATGCTATGGACTAAAGCAAAACGATGGCTGGGCAGATGGACAAATGGATGTTGGACTAAGGAAGCATCTCTAAAGGACAGGAAGAGTTTATATAGGCTCATTGGGCCAGCATCCCTCACGTGGTATTATTTTCATACTCGTGGCCTTAAAAGTGGAAAAAGATAAACTTAAAGGCAAATTATCATTACCTATGTCAAGTAATTCAAAAACAAATGTAACAGCTTTTCATCCAAATATCATAACTTTAAACCATTTGTTTTTGAGAAGAGGTTTTTTTAATGTACACATTTGACAATGTGATCTTGATAGTGGGTCAAAGTCATTCATATGAACAGACATGATAGTTCTTCATCTGAGCATGTTATTGTCAAATTGCACCGTCCTATACCTTTCGTATATAAAATGCATTTGAATGTTTTCAACACAGCTGACCCCTTTGACCTTAAATATAGGTAAAGGTCATTTATTTGATCAAACATTATATATCTTGATTTGAACATGTATCTGATTAAATATTAGCTAGACCTTTTGGTTATTCAGAAAGAGTCGTTTAAATGTGTTAAATGTATTTGAACCCTGTTTAATATAGTGTTGTAGCTCTTTTTCTCATCATGTTACAGCTTAAATAGGCATGTTGGTTATTTGCAAAACACCTTTGAAATGTTTTAAACACATTTGAACCCTGTGACCCCTGAATATGGGTGAAGGTCATTGATGTTAACTCCCGAAGCAGCTATTCATCTTAGCCTGCTACTGGCCAAACATCATCACCCTGGACATTTTGGTTATTTATAAGAAGTCGTTTATACAAATAGTTGACGCCGGACAGATGGATGGATGTGGTGTCATGGCATAAGCTCTTCTTGCGATGTGAGCTAAAAAACAATAAAAAATAATCTCATCCAAAATAATAAAAGAGGCCAAAAGGGTAAAGGTCTGTATTGCTTACCTGGATATTTAAGTAATAATTTACATGCATGTCTTTAAGTTCTTGAAATGTTTGATATATACTGAACAAAAAAAGAAACGCACAAAGTCCCCCCCCCCCTCCCCTGCAGTAAACCTTAGCTGTAAGGAAATAATGGAATATTTGGTCAGGTATTACATCAAGAACGATCTCCCTTCTCAACAATCTATCCTAAAATTAGCCAAGCGTGACGATGTCATTGTGTGACTTTGTGAGCTTCTTTAGTCCATATCACGCGGCGTGATCAAGCCAAGCCGGAGTTTTTCAAACATATAATCTCAACGGATACTCTAAGTTCAGCAACATTCATTTTTCACGTTGGGATTTTGATTTTGCCATTGACTCAGATGCCACACTTAACGGAAATTTAGAGGGGTAGAGTAATTGCGATGTTGATGGATGGTCATAGCCAAACTGCTGTCGCACGGCAGTTTGGTGTTGACCCGTGTACAATTAACCGTCTCTGTACACGTTTCCGTGCTACTGGGCTAGTTTCCAATCATCCCAGGAGTGGTCGTCCGCGTGTAACAACCGCACGACAAGACAGGGCGATTCGATTGTCGCACTTGCGCAACAGATTCAAGACTGCTGTAGAGACTGCGTCGCATACCTAAGTGACCCAGGCAGACCCATTCGTCCTCAAACTGCCAGGAACCGCTTGCGTGCCGAGAGATTCATTGCACGTCGACCTTATGTTGGGCCACCTCTGACACCACGGAGGCGGCAAGTGCGTCTTGACTAGATGCGCAGACATGGCCTGAATACGTTTGGGATGCGTCGATGGAGGCGTATTATGTTCACCGACGAGTCTAGATTCTGTCTGTATCGCTCAGACGGAAGAAAAAGGGTATATCGCAGACGCGGTGAGCGTTTCGCCGACGCATGCGTTGTTGAACGCGATAGATTCGGTGGGGCTTCTGTAATGGTTTGGGGAGGCATCTCCCATGGAGCAAAATCCCCCTTAGTGGTCCTGGATCAAAACCTCAATGCCGTTCGATACAGAGACCAGATCCTCCCACCACATGTCCTTCTACTTCTCAGACGTCATAGCCTAATTTTCCAGCAAGACAATGCTCGACCGCATGTTGCCAGAGTCTGTCGTGATTTCTCACGGCAAACAACGTTCAGCCTCGAGCTCTGGAATGGCCCCCATATAGCCCCGACATGTCTCCCATTGAGCATCTGTGGGATGAGCTGGACAGGCGTATTAGGAAATGTCAAAACCCCCCAAGTAGCTGCGTCCAGTTGATCGCAGCATTAACACAAGAATGGAACAACATTCCCTTAAGGCAAATAAATGTTCTCATGAATTCAATGCATAGAAGAATCCGTGCAGGGATTCGTGCAAAAGGTGCCCACACCAGGTACAGAAGTGTCATTTTGTTTTTCGCAGGTATCCCACTTTGAGTAACTACTGATGACACGAATGACGTCACACAGACTTTTCTTCTACAGTATTGTAAAGAGTAGACTTGTCCCTTCATATTGATATAAACTTTTGTACAAATTTCCCAAAATATCATAGGCTATGGTAGCAGTATAGAGTAGAAATGGCCTACTCTGATAAACAAGGCACATGTCGAGGAAATGTAAACACAGCGGATTTACCCTACACAACACATGCATACATGTATATACATTTGTCAACTGCATTACATTTACAATACATATAAAGTACTGAGAAGTGTATAAACCTCTTTTTTCTATGTATGTCACTTGTGTGAAAACCATGGTTACCACATCAAAAATTACCAAAAAATGCTATTTTTAACCCAAAATTTGACCCCCGCAATTAGTAATTTTTTTCCAAAGCTCTGTCTGAAATAAAAGATAACCTACCTGGTTGCAGAATTATCTGGGTCCGAGTAAAGTTGTAAAATTTGATTTTTTGCAATTTTGCGTCGTGTGCTGTTGTCAAAATTGTACCTCCTGTAAAGCTAGCTTTTCATGTGTACGCACCCTTTCGGATTATGGCCAAAATTTTATTCTCGAACCAAAAAAATCTTCTTTCTTTTTTACAAATGTGAAGCTCACCTAGCCCACTTCATCATGCTTATACTAATTTTAGTAGTTGTATGTTTTTATATTTTTTTCATTATACATGGGTTAGCCATTTAACAAAAATATCACCCATGGCCACAACCCTCTACTGTATACTGCTACCTTATACATCACTTTCTTTTTCCCAAAATTAATTAAAACCTTTTAAATGTCTGGTAAATAAGACAATGAACACAACGATGTATCCGTTTCCTTTCTCACTTTAATAGTGACCAAGTAATATGAATTTTCCTGACAGGTTTATTTACCAATTCTGCTCTCAAACTACCAACAAAGGGAGGTTATCTGAACAAGAGGCCCAGAGGGCCTGTATCGCTCACCTGAATATGTTTTAAATAATTGGTATGAAGTAAAAATATAGCACTCCATGGTAGGTGCATATAAAATTTTAGAAAGATCCATCCAGTACTCGAGATAAAGCGAGAACAAACTTCAAACAGAGCCCCACCCCTAAGCCCTAGGGGGGGTGGGGGGGTCATACCCACCAATTATACAAAATTGAGACCCCTTTGTCCAAGGATGCTCCAGAAAAATCCCTTAATCCCGATGGTCGAAAAAGGATTTAAAAGGTTTAACCTCTATTTCTCCTATTGGCCCCCGCCATTCTGCCCCCTGGGAGACCACATCCATTGCATATACAAAATTGAGTCCCCTTGGCCCAAGGATGCTCCAGACTAAATTAGGATAAAATCCCTAAATCCATATGGTAAAAGAAGGATTTTAAAGGTTTTACCTCTATTTCCCCTATTGGGCCCCGCCTCTCTCCCTCCAGGGGGGTTAGACACACCATTTATACAAAATTGGCTTCCCCTTCACCCAATGATGATTCATACCAAATTTGGACAAAATCCTGTCATTCGTACAGAAGAAGAAGGTATTTGAAGAATTTGCTATGTTTCCCCTATTGGGACCCTCCCTTCTGTCCCCAGGTGGGCCACACTCGCTGTTTATACGAAATTTAGTCCCTTTTGTCCAAGGATACTCCAGACTTAATTAGGATAAAATCCCCTCATCCATATGATAGAAGAAGGATTATAAAGGTTTTCCTTCTTTTTCCCCTATTGGGCCCCGCCCCTTAGGTCCTAGGGGGGCCACACCCACCGTTTATACAAAATTGGTTCCCCTTCACCCAAGGATGCTTCAGACCAAATATGGAGCAAATCCTTTCATTCCTACAGAAGAAGAAGGATATTAAAGAATTTGCTATATTTCCCCTATTGGGCCCCGCCCCTCAGCCCACAGGGGGGCCAGACCCACCATTTATACAAAATTGGTTTCCCTTTACCCAAGGATGCTCCACACCAAATATGGAACAAATCCTTTCATTCCGACAGAAGAAGAAGGATTTTAAAGAATAATTTGCTATGTTTCCCCTATTGGGCCCNATTTTAGTACAGTTTTATTTTTAATTTTTTTTTACATATCATTATACAGGGGTTAGCCATTTAACAAAAATATCACCCATGGCCACAACCCTCTACTGTACTCTGCTACCTTATACATCACTTTTTTTTCCCCAAAATTTAATCAAAACCTTTTAAATGTCTGGAAAATGCGACAATGAACACAATGATGTATCCGTTTCCTTTCTCACTTTAATAGTGACCGAGTAATATGAATTCTCCTGAAAAGTGTATTTACCAATTCTGCTCTCAAACTACCAACAAAGGGAGGTAATCTGAAAAATGAAAACTTGAATAGGTTTGTAGTTTT